AGTCACCTACCTCTCATCAATGGCGGATGTTCTCTGAACTTGGACACTATCGTTGTAGCTCGTAATCAGCACATGCACATTCTTAACTCCGAGAAGGAGGACTTCATCATTAGGCCGTGGATCTCGCTGAACAGGAACCTGCATTTTGTATCGCGACGTTCGGGAGAAGCTGATTGGTAGAAGCTTGAGTTAGTTGGTGCTGTAGGGTTTCGACCATGTATCGCAGGAGCAGAAAGGCATCAAAGGAAGATGAAATCGCCAAATTAACGAAGCAGTTGACAGAGCTTACAGACAGCATGTTTGCTGAGGTAAGATAGACACCATATGTGTTTACGGCCTTGTGTCACTGACCATGAATGTTGACGAGGGTTTGCTCCCAGGTGAGCACACACCAAGAGGGTGTCCTTAATGACGAGTTTCTCAGCGTTCCAAATTCCTTTGGAATAATCAATCATCGGAAGCGACTCGACGCTCAGTTGTATAGCAAGTGCGCTTTTTATTTTTTCCTCTCAATGTTATCCAGGGTATACTCGATGATCAGTTTACCCAACTTCAGCAATTGCAAGACGAGAGCAATCCGGAGTTCGTCGGAGAGGTCATCGGCCTGTTTTTTGAAGACTCCGTAAAGCTGCTTGACGACCTCACTCAAGAAGTGTGAGTGAAAAGCCGTCCTTTTTCTTTCAGCACGCGCAAACATGTTTTTTTTCCCTACCGGAATAACATCGATGTGCCAACTAGTCTTATCGGCGAGAAATCTTTGTCATTTTAAACCCGCCTGTAACCGCAGCAACGAAGATCCAATTGACTTCAAGAAAGTGGATGCACATGTTCACCAGTTTAAGGGTAGTAGTTCGAGGTAAGTTGTTACGCGCGTTTTTGTCTAAAGTTCTGCCGTGATTTCATGGCGTAATAATGAGATCTCGCCCGTGAGCAGCATTGGGGCACAACGAGTGAAGGCATTATGCATCAAGATGAGAGGGTATTGCGACGAAGGAAACCGCGCGAAGTATGTATTATTTGGGATGGTTTCGTTCGGGGCTGCATGCGGATTAAACGTCACGGATGACTAAAATTCCGACGACTTGATGATGCAGGTGCTTGAGCTCGCTAGACAAGATCAAGGATGAGTTCAACCTTGTGAAGGATAAGCTGGAGCTCATGATGTCGGTAAGTCTCTTCATGTTCCGGTCTCTTATATCCACTGATCATGGCCCTTCAGTGCCCTCTTGTCTGCATTGTTGTAGACTTAGCGCCAGCTGTGCCTGCCCTTCTTCTGCTTCCTTGTTTACATGAAGAAGTCATGAACTGAACTGCCTTGGGTGTCTTGTGTTCGGTCAAGGCGTGCAAACTGCGGTTGTGTGTGAGGGGTGCACGAAGTGCAGGGGAACAAGTTTACACAGTAACGTGCCTGTTCCTTGGAGTGCCTGCAGTGTAGTCTCACTTTGCGTGCTGCTGTCTCGTGTCTGTATGGTATTCTGCACATGCCAGTCTTGTAACCAAGGTGCACGCATCTCATGTCTGTCTTTTGTTTTCATCCGCACGCCCTCATGTTACTCTTGAAGTCCCTTCTTAGTGCCTATCTCTCAGCTGCGTGTTTTGTTTAACCGTCCTCAGCACTCGTCATCCCATCATGAATCGTCCATGTGTGCTATCCTTTTTGGGGGGTGGATGAAATACTAATGTATACATCCAGTCGTCACTAATTGAGGGGAGGGGGAGGGGGAGTGTCGGGAGTGAGGGGGGAAGTGGAACTATGCTACTGCGGCCCTTCTGTGGACTGGATTGACGGGGGGTGGAAAAAGGTTTTCGGGCTGTTCCAGATGGACCTGATCTCGTCTCCTCACGTCATGTGTTCCTCACACCTCTTCCCTTCTTATCTTGCTGCTGCTCAGTATAATTTCATGCCATCACCATTATTCCCCATTGTTAGTATCAGTGGAGCCTTCCATCCCCCATCATCTACCTGATCAAGCTTCGTGAACGTTGTGCTTGTACTTTGCCTGCTCAACCTCCACATCTGTTCATGCCCTTACAGCTGGAACGGAAGATTTTGGCTAAAGGAGGGAAATTGCCGTCAATGGATTATTGACCACGGAGCATCCATTCCCAAGATACCTTAGAAATGTACAACCGTAGTTTACAGTCTACACGGCTTTCTGCAAGAGTTCCACCGGTATCTGCTGTTTGTCAATAGGCATTCATGTATGAACAGCTTGGGGTGTGAAAACCGTTAGGGCACACCACTCGAGCTGAAGGCGTGCTGTATGGTTCGCTTGCTCCTTTTTCTTTGTCTGGGATCATTGTTTGCTTGTAGGGTGAATGATTTGCATCTGCATGGACTGCTAGGTGGGGTCAGCATGTCAGGTGCCCTAGTTGGGATCTCTCTGATGAAATATAGTATCAACTGGGCATGCTCTTTGGAGTACCAAGATGAGCCCCTATTACCTTGTATGGAGAAACCTACCTTACAAGTATCAACCAGCTTGTTCTATTCTGTCCCTTGTTGTGTCTGCTTTACCCAGTAGAACTGGGAGTTATAGGTGCTTCACAAGTAGCGTCATGAAAACAATGGGTAGTTTTTGACAGTCTGCAGTTATGAATTGGATGATACCGTATTGCCAGTGTACAAATAGTTACGCCTGCGCGATCTAAATTGGATGTTATTGCCAGTGTACAAATTTAGTATAGTCCGTCGGTAACATCTCCCAGAAAGATCAGACATTGCATATTTTTTCACCATACATTGCATTGCAGCAGGATCAAGATAATCCTGGTGACGCGCAGACCCAGCAAAATTGGTGGACATGCATGAGTGTCATACTACCGTATGACTTTCACTGTTGAACCTTTACCAGAAGCAATCCTGCTGCTGTATGCCTGCAACAGAATTGCCTTGTACACAACACATTTTTGACACATCAGCAGCAACCTCCTCTGGCCTTATGCACCCATGGATGCTCCAGCACCTGTGAACATGCGAGTCTTTTCGCAGGATCCACGGTGAGCATTGCAGCAATCAGCTGCTTGACACCTGATGAAAGATGCACTGTCAACTCATTATCAATAAAGTCTTGTGGATTCCTGTGTGTCACCGTGCCTTCCCTTGCATCGGAATTTGGAAATGTTGAGGTTAGGAGAGCATACAGCACAACCCCGAGGCTGTAAACATCAGCCGGGGTACCGTGATAGCTGTCTTGGGAGACTTCGGGTGCTTTATACGCGGCGCTCCCGACATTTCCCATCGTGAAATCCAGGCCCGGTTTGAGGATAGTTGCTGTGCCAAAATCCGCCAGCTTCACTGTAAAAGGACACGTGCCTGTTCCAGAGGGCTTAGTAGCCGGAGAAGCTGACGTCAGCAGCACGTTTTCCAGCTTGATGTCGCGATGGACAACACGGTGCGAGTGGCAATGCTGCACGGCTGTCACTAGCTGCCAAAAGATGCCGGCCACCAGGTGTTCGGGAAGACCAGTTATTAATTCACCAGGCAGCCTGCCGCTTCTGCAAAAAGTGTTGAATCTGCGAAACAAGGATAGCTTCTTCATTGATGGCCAATGCGTAACAGATGCCCGCTGGTTCGCTTTCTGCTGTAGTTCCACAGATTGAACGGTGCTACTCGTCTTGCCCAGCAGCAGGGAGAGCAAGTCGCCACGGTCGCACAGCTCCATCACCAGTCGCACGCGGTCGTTGCTGTCGTACACGCCTTTCAAATCCACAATATTCGGGTGTTTCCCTAAGTGTCGCATCACTTTGCCTTCTCTTCTTAAAGCTGTCGCTTTCGCCTTCCACGCCTCCTCGCTGTTTCCCAATCGTTCCACCGTCTTGCAAGCGAAAGCTTCGCCAACGTCGCCACTTTCGCCTGCGTGGACGTCGCCATTAGCGAAACGGCAAATTGTGGACTTCGCGTACTCCTGACCGGGTGCTGCGGAAGAAGGGGACAGGTGTACCCTCGGGCTGCCACGTGGCGAGTTCCAAGAGCGCCTCTCGTGGCAAATCTCCACAACGCCGTACGCTCCTTCGCCCAGCACTCGCCCCACGAGAAATCGCGGAGTGAATCGGTGCGACAAGGGGCTGCTTCGCCGTGGCTTCGCGAGCTGGATGTCTGCTGCAGCAGTCAGAGGAGGTGCGGCTTGCCCATCGAGCATGTAGGTTCCGGCTTCCAGTTTCGGCGGTATGAGAATCGTGATTTGTTCGCTCTCCATCGTTTCTTCTCTTGTTGTTTCGGTAAAAGGGCTGGTAAAAGATAAGCTTGTAGCACTGAACCCCCGTTTCTCCGTCCGACAAATTTACATTAGGTTGAAGAAAAAATGCCTTGAAGTTGACGCCCTGACTTGAGGTTGAGAGTCAAACCGACTACCTGCATCCTTGCGAAGATCATTATGGAGGGTGGGGTGCGAGAGGCGGATCCATGGCGTGTGGAAGGTAGCAGGTGCGTAATTGCAGCATCAGGGACGCTCGCTCGCACTTGCGTGCACTGGAAATAACCAGGTCAAGGTAGGTGCGAGAGCAGGAGATAAGTAATCAGGTGGGATAGGCTAGGGTAGAGCAGTGCGAAGCGAAGTGCGTGACTGGTTCTGCGGACCTGCGGACCTGCAGCCATGAATGCCTACCTGCAGGCCACACAACACAATGTACTGCCAGTCTGTGCTGACCGTGGGCCGCAAATGTCTTGCTCGAGTCGAGGGTTCTTATCTGTGTCGTTCAAGGGAGATTCTCGAGCGGATGATCGAGGGCTGATATTGAGGGGGTGAAACCGAGGGTTTCGAATGTACGGCTCGATTTTCGTGCACGGCTGGTCTCGACAATTGACGTTTCACAGGGAACCCGGAGTAATATAGGGGCCTAGAGATTTACATTCTCAAAAAAAGGTACAGACAATCACATATCCATGTTAGTGATGTTCACATATTGAACACCTCAACAGCCTTGTAAACAGTTACATTTTGTCTGCTATTTTGTGTGTGTGTTTTTTTTTTCAAAACAGATTATACATTAACTAACCACTAAGCAGCAGCCTCTTCCTCACCACCCCCTTCCTCCTCTTCACCTTCCTCCTCCTCACTCCCCTCATCAGACTCCACAAACCCTTCCACGAACCCTCCCTTCCTGCCCTTTCCACTGCCCGCCTTGGCTGCCGCCTCGCCAGCTGGCAACAGCTCAAAGGAGCCGTCCGTCCAGCGCGCCAGCAGATGCAGCCGAAAGACTGCCATCTTTTCTCCCAGTAGCCGCTGGACAAGCAGATGGGGGAAGGAGGGATAGGGATGGAAATATCAGGTGAGGAAACAGGAGACAAGTTGACATGAGTAGGAGCCATCCGTCCATCGTGCCAGCAGATGCAGCCAAAAGATTGGCATATTTTCTCCCAATAGCCGCTGGAAAAGCCGAGAGGGGAGGGGGGGAGGCAGGGGGGAGGAGAACGAGCGATTAAGACGAGAGATTAGGAAACACAATGAAGAGGAACCGTCCGTCCAGTGCGGCAGCAGATGCAGTCGAAAGCCTGCCATCTTCTCTTTTGAGTCGACTCAAAAGTTGAGTCGACTCAAAAGTCAGATGCAGTCGAAAGCCTGCCATCTTCTCTTCCACCAGACGCAACCGAAAATGAGGTGACTTTTGAGTCGACTCAAAAGTCACCTCGCAGCAGATGCAGTCGAAAGCCTGCCATCTTCTCTTCCAGCAGATGCAACCGAAAATGCGAATCCAAGTCAAACACAACAGCAAGCAGGGTAAATGGGAGGTGAAAATATTCTAAAGAATGCTGGATGGCAATGAGCAGGGAACGGCGGTGTGGGATCGGGAGGCGTACCAAAATGGTGGTGTGGGATTGGAAGGCGTACCAAAATGGTGGTGTGGGATTGGAAGGCGTACGAAAATGGTGGTGTGGGATTGGAAGGCGTACCAAAATGGTGGCAGCTTCGGGGGAGAGCGGTTGGCCCTCTCTGCACACTGTGAATTCAGCCACCAGATCAATCACTCCTGGTATAGTCACAGTGCGGGTGGCATAGAGGGGAAGGGGAGGAAGATAGCGGTTAACCTTCAGTGCACACTGTAAAGTCAGCTACCAGATTAATCATTCATGGTATAGTCACAGTGCGGAGACAAGAGGGGGGAGGCAGGAATGGGAAGGCAGAAAGGAAGAAAGTAAAAATGGGGAAAGCGAACAGGGAAAGCCGAAAGGGGGAAGGCAGGGGAAAGCACACAGGGGGAAAGCCGAAAGGGGAAAGCATTAATGTGGAAGGCACAGAGAGGGGGACAGCAGAAAGGGGAGTTACAAAAGGGCGGACAAGTGAAGCACTCGTGGCAGCAAGGGGAGTTACAAAAGGCCCTCGTGGACCAGGGCGCGCGCGTGGACCAAGGCGCGCGCGTGGACCAAGGCGCGCTCGTGGACCAAGGCGCGCGCGTGGACCAAGGCGCGCGCGTGGACCAAGGCGCGCGCGTGGACCAAGGCGCGCGCGTGGACCAAGGCGCGCGCGTGGACCAAGGCGCGCGCGTGGACCAAGGCGCGCGCGTGGACCAAGGCGCGCGCGTGGACCAAGGCGCGCGCGTGGACCAGGGCGCGCGCGTGGACCAGGGCGCGCGCGTGGACCAGGGCGCGCGCGTGGACCAGGGCGCGCGCGTGGACCAGGGCGCGCGCGTGGACCAGGGCGCGCGCGTGGACCAGGGCGCGCGCGTGGACCAGGGCGCGCGCGTGGACCAGGGCGCGCGCGTGGACCAGGGCGCGCGCGTGGACCAGGGCGCGCGCGTGGACCAGGGCGCGCGCCTGGACCAGGGCGCGCGCGTGGACCAGGGCGCGCGCGTGGACCAGGGCGCGCGCGTGGACCAGGGCGCGCGCGTGGACCAGGGCGCGCGCGTGGACCAGGGCGCGCGCGTGGACCAGGGCGCGCGCGTGGACCAGGGCGCGCGCGTGGACCAAGGCGCGCGCGTGGACCAGGGCGCGCGCGTGGACCAGGGCGCGCGCGTGGACCAAGGCGCGCGCGTGGACCAGGGCGCGCGCGTGGACCAGGGCGCGCGCGTGGACCAAGGCGCGCGCGTGGACCAGGGCGCGCGCGTGGACCAGGGCGCGCGCGTGGACCAGGGCGCGCGCGTGGACCAGGGCGCGCGCGTGGACCAGGGCGCGCGCGTGGACCAGGGCGCGCGCGTGGACCAGGGCGCGCGCGTGGACCAGGGCGCGCGCGTGGACCAGGGCGCGCGCGTGGACCAGGGCGCGCGCGTGCACCAGGGCGCGCGCGTGGACCAGGGCGCGCGCGTGGACCAGGGCGCGCGCGTGGACCACCAGGGCGCGCACGTGGACCAGGGCGCGCGCGTGGACCAGGGCGCGCGCGTGGACCAGGGCGCGCGCGTGGACCAAGGCGCGCGCGTGGACCAAGGCGCGCGCGTGGACCAAGGCGCGCGCGTGGACCAAGGCGCGCGCGTGGACCAAGGCGCGCGCGTGGACCAAGGCGCGCGCGTGGAGCAAGGCGCCCGCGTGGAGCAAGGCGCGCGCGTGGAGCAAGGCGCGCGCGTGGAGCAAGGCGCGCGCGTGGAGCAAGGCGCGCGCGTGGAGCAAGGCGCGCGCGTGGAGCAAGGCGCGCGCGTGGACCAAGGCGCGCGCGTGGAGCAAGGCGCGCGCGTGGACCAAGGCGCGCGCGTGGACCAAGGCGCGCGCGTGGACCAAGGCGCGCGCGTGGACCAAGGCGCGCGCGTGGACCAGGGCGCGCGCGTGGACCAGGGCGCGCGCGTGGACCAGGGCGCGCGCGTGGACCAGGGCGCGCGCGTGGACCAGGGCGCGCGCGTGAACCAGGGCGCGCGCGTGGACCAGGGCGCGCGCGTGGACCAGGGCGCGCGCGTGGACCAGGGCGCGCGCGTGGACCAGGGCGCGCGCGTGGACCAGGGCGCGCGCGTGGACCAGGGCGCGCGCGTGGACCAGGGCGCGCGCGTGGACCAGGGCGCGCGCGTGGACAAGGGCGCGCGCGTGGACCAGGGCGCACGCGTGGACCAGGGCGCGCGCGTGGACCAGGGCGCGCGCGTGGACCAGGGCGCGCGCGTGGACCCGGGCGCGCGCGTGGACCCGGGCGCGCGCGTGGACCAGGGCGCGCGCGTGGACCAAGGCGCGCGCGTGGACCAAGGCGCGCGCGTGGACCAAGGCGCGCGCGTGGACCAAGGCGCGCGCGTGGACCAAGGCGCGCGCGTGGACCAAGGCGCGCGCGTGGACCAAGGCGCGCGCGTGGACCAAGGCGCGCGCGTGGACCAAGGCACGCGCGTGGACCAAGGCGCGCACGTGGACCAAGGCGCGCGCGTGGACCAAGGCGCGCGCGTGGACCAAGGCGCGCGCGTGGACCAAGGCGCGCGCGTGGACCAAGGCGCGCCGCGTGGACCAAGGCGCGCGCGTGGACCAAGGCGCGCGCGTGGACCAAGGCGCGCGCGTGGACCAAGGCGCGCGCGTGGACCAAGGCGCGCGCGTGGACCAAGGCGCGCGCGTGGACCAAGGCGCGCGCGTGGACCAAGGCGCGCGCGGTGGACCAAGGCGCGCGCGTGGACCAAGGCGCGCGCGTGGACCAAGGCGCGCGCGTGGACCAAGGCGCGCCGTGCCAGCCGCGTGGACCAAGGCGCGCGCGTGGACCAAGGCGCGCGCGTGGACCAAGTCGCACACCCCACTCACCTCTGTTTAGGTGCACGGGCATGCCCTGCGTGCGCGTGGACCAGGGAGCGCGCGTGGACCAGGGCGCGCGCGTGGACCAGGGCGCGCGCGTGGACCAGGGCGCGCGCGTGGACCAGGGCGCGCGCGTGGACCAAGGCGCGCGCGTGGACCAGGGCGCGCGCGTGGACCAAGGCGCGCGCGTGGACCAGGGCGCGCGCGTGGACCAGGGCGCGCGCGTGGACCCGGGCGCGCGCGTGGACCAGGGCGCGCGCGTGGACCAGGGCGCGCGCGTGGACCAGGGCGCGCGCGTGGACCAGGGCGCGCGCGTGGACCAGGGCGCGCGCGTGGACCAGGGCGCGCGCGTGGACCAAGGCGCGCGCGTGGACCAGGGCGCGCGCGTGGACCAAGGCGCGCGCGTGGACCAGGGCGCGCGCGTGGACCAGGGCGCGCGCGTGGACCAGGGCGCGCGCGTGGACCCGGGCGCGCGCGTGGACCAGGGCGCGCGCGTGGACCAGGGCGCGCGCGTGGACCAGGGCGCGCGCGTGGACCGGGGCGCGCGCGTGGACCGGGGCGCGCGCGTGGACCGGGGCGCGCCCGTGGACCAGGGCGCGCGCGTGGACCAGGGCGCGCGCGTGGACCAGGGCGCGCGCGTGGACCAGGGCGCGCGCGTGGACCAAGGCGCGCGCGTGGACCAGGGCACGCGCGTGGACCAGGGCGCGCGCGTGGACCAGGGCGCGCGCGTGGACCAGGGCGCGCGCGTGGACCAGGGCGCGCGCGTGGACCAGGGCGCGCGCGTGGACCCGGGCGCTCGCGTGGACCCGGGCGCGCGCGTGGGACCGCAGCGCGCGTGGACCAGGGCGCGCGCGTGGACCAGGGCGCGCGCGTGGACCAGGGCGCGCGCGTGGACCAGGGCGCGCGCGTGGACCAGGGCGCGCGCGTGGACCAGGGCGCGCGCGTGGACCAGGGCGCGCGCGTGGACCAGGGCGCGCGCGTGGACCAGGGCGCGCGCGTGGACCAGGGCGCGCGCGTGGACCAGGGCGCGCGCGTGGACCAGGGCGCGCGCGTGGACCAGGGCGCGCGCGTGGACCAGGGCGCGCGCGTGGACCAGGGCGCGCGCGTGGACCAGGGCGCGCGCGTGGACCAGGGCGCGCGCGTGGACCAGGGCGCGCGCGTGGACCAGGGCGCGCGCGTGGACCAGGGCGCGCGCGTGGACCAGGGCGCGCGCGTGGACCAAGGCGCGCGCGTGGACCAAGGCGCGCGCGTGGACCAAGGCGCGCGCGTGGACCAAGGCGCGCGCGTGGACCAAGGCGCGCGCGTGGACCAAGGGCGCGCGCGTGGACCAGGGCGCGCGCGTGGACCAGGGCGCGCGCGTGGACCAGGGCGCGCGCGTGCACCAGGGCGCGCGCGTGGACCAGGGCGCGCGCGTGGACCAGGGCGCGCGCGTGGACCAGGGCGCGCGCGTGGACCAGGGCGCGCGCGTGGACCAGGGCGCGCGCGTGGACCAGGGCGCGCGCGTGGACCAGGGCGCGTGCGTGGACCAGGGCGCGTGCGTGGACCAGGGCGCGCGCGTGGACCAGGGCGCGCGCGTGGACCAGGGCGCGCGCGTGGACCAGGGCGCGCGCGTGGACCAGGGCGCGCGCGTGGACCAGGGCGCGCGCGTGGACCAGGGCGCGCGCGTGGACCAGGGCGCGCGCGTGGACCAGGGCGCGCGCGTGGACCAGGGCGCGCGCGTGGACCAAGGCGCCCGCGTGGACCAAGGCGCCCGCGTGGACCAAGGCGCGCGCGTGGACCAAGGCGCGCGCGTGGACCAAGGCGCGCGCGTGGACCAAGGCGCGCGCGTGGACCAAGGCGCGCGCGTGGACCAAGGCGCGCGCGTGGACCAAGGCGCGCGCGTGGACCAAGGCGCGCGCGTGGACCAAGGCGCGCGCGTGGACCAGGGCGCGCAGCGTGGACCAGGGCGCGCGCGTGGACCAGGGCGCGCGCGTGGACCAGGGCGCGCGCGTGGACCAGGGCGCGCGCGTGGACCAGGGCGCGCGCGTGGACCAGGGCGCGCGCGTGGACCAGGGCGCGCGCGTGGACCAGGGCGCGCGCGTGGACCAGGGCGCGCGCGTGGACCAGGGCGCGCGCGTGGACCAGGGCGCGCGCGTGGACCAGGGCTGCAGGCGCGGTGGACCAGGGCGCGCGCGTGGACCAGGGCGCGCGCGTGGACCAGGGCGCGCGCGTGGACCAGGGCGCGCGCGTGGACCAGGGCGCGGCGCGGTGGACCAGGGCGCGCGCGTGGACCAGGGCGCGCGCGTGGACCAGGGCGCGCGCGTGGACCAGGGCGCGCGCGTGGACCAGGGCGCGCGCGTGGACCAGGGCGCGCGCGTGGACCAGGGCGCGCGCGTGGACCAGGGCGCGCGCGTGCACCAGGGCGCGCGCGTGCACCAGGGCGCGCGCGTGGACCAGGGCAGCGCGCGTGGACCAGGGCGCGCGCGTGGACCAGGCGCGCGCGTGGACCAGGGCGCGCGCGTGACCAGGGCGCGCGCGTGGACCAGGGCGCGCGTCGTGGACCAGGGGGCGCGCGTGGACCAGGGCGCGCGCGTTGGACCAGGGCGCGCGCGTGGACCAGGGCGCGCGCGTGCACCAGGGCGCGCGCGTGCACCAGGGCGCGCGCGTGCACCAGGGCGCGCGCGTGGACCAGGGCGCGCGCGTGGACCAGGGCGCGCGCGTGGACCAGGGCGCGCGCGTGGACCAGGGCGCGCGCGTGGACCAGGGCGCGCGCGTGGACCAAGGCGCCCGCGTGGACCAAGGCGCCCGCGTGGACCAAGGCGCGCGCGTGGACCAAGGCGCGCGCGTGGACCAAGGCGCGCGCGTGGACCAAGGCGCGCGCGTGGACCAAGGCGCGCGCGTGGACCAAGGCGCGCGCGTGGACCAAGGCGCGCGCGTGGACCAAGGCGCGCGCGTGGACCAAGGCGCGCGCGTGGACCAAGGCGCGCGCGTGGACCAAGGCGCGCGCGTGGACCAAGGCGCGCGCGTGGACCAAGGCGCGCGCGTGGACCAAGGCGCGCGCGTGGACCAAGGCGCGCGCGTGGACCAAGGCGCGCGCGTGGACCAAGTCGCACACCCCACTCACCTCTGTTTAGGTGCACGGGCATGCCCTGCGTGCGCGTGGACCAGGAGCGCGCGTGGACCAGGGCGCGCGCGTGGACCAGGGCGCGCGCGTGGACCAGGGCGCGCGCGTGGACCAGGGCGCGCGCGTGGACCAAGGCGCGCGCAGTGGACCAGGGCGCGCGCGTGGACCAAGGCGCGCGCGTGGACCAGGGCGCGCGCGTGGACCAGGGCGCGCGCGTGGACCCGGGCGCGCGCGTGGACCAGGGCCGCGCGCGTGGACCAGGGCGCGCGCGTGGACCAGGGCGCGCGCGTGGACCAGGGCGCGCGCGTGGACCAGGGCGCGCGCGTGGACCAGGGCGCGCGCGTGGACCAGGGCGCGCGCGTGGACCAAGGCGCGCGCGTGGACCAGGCGCGCGCGTGGACCAAGGCGCGCGCGTGGACCAGGGCGCGCGCGTGGACCAGGGCGCGCGCGTGGACCAGGGCGCGCGCGTGGACCCGGGCGCGCGCGTGGACCAGGGCGCGCGCGTGGACCAGGGCGCGCGCGTGGACCAGGGCGCGCGCGTGGACCGGGGCGCGCGCGGTGGACCGGGGCGCGCGCGTGGACCGGGGCGCGCCCGTGGACCAGGGCGCGCGCGTGGACCAGGGCGCGCGCGTGGACCAGGGCGCGCGCGTGGACCAGGGCGCGCGCGTGGACCAGGCGCGCGCGTGGACCAGGGCACGCGCGTGGACCAGGGCGCGCGCGTGGACCAGGGCGCGCGCGTGGACCAGGGCGCGCGCGTGGACCAGGGCGCGCGCGTGGACCAGGGCGCGCGCGTGGACCAGGGCGCGCGCGTGGACCCGGGCGCTCGCGTGGACCCGGGCGCGCGCGTGGACCCGGGCGCGCGCGTGGACCCGGGCGCGCGCGTGGACCAGGGCGCGCGCGTGGACCAGGGCGCGCGCGTGGACCAGGGCGCGCGCGTGGACCAGGGCGCGCGCGTGGACCAGGGCGCGCGCGTGGACCAGGGCGCGCGCGTGGACCAGGGCGCGCGCGTGGACCAGGGCGCGCGCGTGGACCAGGGCGCGCGCGTGGACCAGGGCGCGCGCGTGGACCAGGGCGCGCGCGTGGACCAGGGCGCGCGCGTGGACCAGGGCGCGCGCGTGGACCAGGGCGCGCGCGTGGACCAGGGCGCGCGCGTGGACCAGGGCGCGCGCGTGGACCAGGGCGCGCGCGTGGACCAGGGCGCGCGCGTGGACCAGGGCGCGCGCGTGGACCAGGGCGCGCGCGTGGACCAGGGCGCGCGCGTGGACCAAGGCGCGCGCGTGGACCAAGGCGCGCGCGTGGACCAAGGCGCGCGCGGTGGACCAAGGCGCGCGCGTGGACCAAGGCGCGCGCGTGGACCAAGGCGCGCGCGTGGACCAGGGCGCGCGCGTGGACCAGGGCGCGCGCGTGGACCAGGGCGCGCGCGTGCACCAGGGCGCGCGCGTGGACCAGGGCGCGCGCGTGGACCAGGGCGCGCGCGTGGACCAGGGCGCGCGCGTGGACCAGGGCGCGCGCGTGGACCAGGGCGCGCGCGTGGACCAGGGCGCGCGCGTGGACCAGGGCGCGTGCGTGGACCAGGGCGCGCGCCCGCGTGGACCAAGGCGCCCGCGTGGACCAAGGCGCGCGCGTGGACCAAGGCGCGCGCGTGGACCAAGGCGCGCGCGTGGACCAAGGCGCGCGCAGTGGACCAAGGCGCGCGCGTGGACCAAGGCGCGCGCGTGGACCAAGGCGCGCGCGTGGACCAAGGCGGCGCGCGCGCGGGACCAGGGCTGCGCGCGTGGACCAGGGCGCGCGCGTGGACCAGGGCGCGCGCGTGGACCAGGGCGCGCGCGTGGACCAGGGCGCGCGCGTGGACCAGGGCGCGCGCGTGGACCAGGGCCGCGCGCGTGGACCAGGGCGCGCGCGTGGACCAGGGCGCGCGCGTGGACCAGGGCGCGCGCGTGGACCAGGGCGCGCGCGTGGACCAGGGGCGCGCGGCGTGGACCAGGGCGCGCGCGTGGACCAGGGCGCGCGCGTGGACCAGGGCGCGCGCGTGGACCAGGGCGCGCGCGTGGACCAGGGCGCGCGCGTGGACCAGGGCGCGCGCGTGGACCAGGGCGCGCGCGTGGACCAGGGCGCGCGCGTGGACCAGGGCGCGCGCGTGGACCAGGGCGCGCGCGTGGACCAGGGCGCGCGCGTGGACCAGGGCGCGCGCGTGGACCAGGGCGCGCGCGTGGACCAGGGCGCCCGTGCCAGGCGCGCGCGTGCACCAGGGCGCGCGCGTGCACCAGGGCGCGCGCGTGCACCAGGGCGCGCGCGTGGACCAGGGCGCGCGCGTGGACCAGGGCTGCGCGCGTGGACCAGGGCGCGCGCGTGGACCAGGGCGCGCGCGTGGACCAGGGCGCGCGCGTGGACCAGGGCGCGCGCGTGGACCAGGGCTGCGCGCGTGACCAGGGCGCGCGCGTGGCACCAGGGCGCGCGCGTGCACCAGGGCGCGCGCTGTGCACCAGGGCGCTGCGCGTGCACCAGGGCGCGCAGCGTGGACCAGGGCGCGCGCGTGGACCAGGGCGCGCGCGTGGACCAGGGCGCGCGCGTGGACCAGGGCGCGCGCGTGGACCAGGGCGCGCGCGTGGACCAAGGCGCCCGCGTGGACCAAGGCGCCCGGTGAGCGCGCGCGTGGACCAAGGCGCGCGCGTGGACCAAGGCGCGCGCGTGGACCAAGGCGCGCGCGTGGACCAAGGCGCGCGCGTGGACCAAGGCGCGCGCGTGGACCAAGGCGCGCGCGTGGACCAAGGCGCGCGCGTGGACCAAGGCGCGCGCGTGGACCAAGGCGCGCGCGTGGACCAAGGCGCGCGCGTGGACCAAGGCGCGCGCGTGGACCAAGGCGCGCGCGTGGACCAAGGCGCGCGCGTGGACCAAGGCGCGCGCGTGGACCAAGGCGCGCGCGTGGACCAAGGCGCGCGCGTGGACCAAGGCGCGCGCGTGGACCAAGGCGCGCGCGTGGACCAAGGCGCGCGCGTGGACCAAGGCGCGCGCGTGGACCAAGGCGCGCGCGTGGACCAAGGCGCGCGCGTGGACCAAGGCGCGCGCGTGGACCAAGGCGCGCGCGTGGACCAAGGCGCGCGCGTGGACCAAGGCGCGCGCGTGGACCAAGGCGCGCGCGTGGACCAAGGCGCGCGCGTGGACCAAGGCGCGCGCGTGGACCAAGGCGCGCGCGTGGACCAAGGCGCGCGCGTGGACCAAGGCGCGCGCGTGGACCAAGGCGCGCGCGTGGACCAAGGCGCGCGCAGTGGACCAAGGCGCGCGCGTGGACCAAGGCGCGCGCGTGGACCAAGGCGCGCGCGGTGGACCAAGGCGCGCGCGTGGACCAAGGCGCGCGCGTGGACCAAGGCGCGCGCGTGGACCAAGGCGCGCGCGTGGACCAAGGCGCGCGCGTGGACCAAGGCGCGCGCGTGGACCAAGGCGCGCGCGTGGACCAAGGCGCGCGCGTGGACCAAGGCGCGCGCGTGGACCAAGGCGCGCGCGTGGACCAAGGCGCGCGTGGACAAGGCCGTGGACCAAGGCGCGCGCGTGGACCAAGGCGCGCGCGTGGACCAAGGCGCGCGCGTGGACCAAGGCGCGCGCGTGGACCAAGGCGCGCGCGTGGACCAAGGCGCGCGCGTGGACCAAGGCGCGCGCGTGGACCAAGGCGCGCGCGTGGACCAAGGCGCGCACGTGGACCAATGCGCGCGCGTGGACCAAGGCGCGCGCGTGGACCAAGGCGCGCGCGTGGACCAAGTCGCACACCCCACTCACCTCTGTTTAGGTGCACGGGCATGCCCTGCGTGCGCAGGAACGGCTCCATGTCATGGCTGAACTGGGTCAGCGGTCCCTCTGGGAGCTCCACCCCTGCTGAGGCGCACACACAACACACCTCACCACACCACACCCCACCGCACTGCACCGCACAGCAACCCCTCACATACCTCTGTTAAGGCGCACGGGCATGCCCTGCTTGCGCAGGAACGGCTCCATGTCATGGCTGAACTGGGTGAGGGGACCCTCAGGGAGCTCCACTGTGCTGGTGGCGATGCTGCCCGTGCGCGCAAAGTCCGGCTCCGCCAGCTCATGGAACCGCCTGGAGTTGGCAGCGCAATAGAGGGATGAGAGTAGAGGAGGAGAGACAGGGAACATGAAGATGAGAGGAAAGCTCCACCGTGCTGGTGGCAATGCTGCCTGTGCGCGCAAAGTCCGGCTCTGCCAGCTCAGCGCCTGGTGCGTTCCTAAGGGGGGGAGATGAGGCGTGGAAAGAAGTGGGAGGGCGATGATGAGAGTGCTGGTGGCAATGCTGCCTGTGCGTGCAAAGTCCGGCTCTGCTAGCTCGTTGAAGCGCCTGGTGTGCCGCAGCGGGAGAGATGAGGGATGGAGTGAGGAAGGTGGGATGGGTGAGATGACGTTGCTGGTGGCGATGCTGCCCGTGCGTGCAAAGTCAGGCTTTGCTAGCTCATTGAACCGCCTGGCGTGCCGCAGGGGGAGAGACGAGGGGTGGAGAGAGGAAGGTGGGATGGGTGAGATGAGAGTGCTGGTGGCGATGCTGCCTGCGCGCGCAAAGTCGGGTTCCGCCAGCTCATTGAACCGCCTGGCGTGTTGCAGCGCAGTGGAGGGGTGATAAGAAGAGAGAGGAGGGATGGGTGGAGATGAGAGTGCTGGTGGCTATGCTGCCCGTGCGCGCAAAGTCTGGCTTTGCTAGCTCATTGAACCGCCTGGCGTGTTGCAAGGGGGTGATGATGAGGGGGCGGAGTGGAGTGGAGGGGGTGGAGATGAGGGGGCGGAGTGGAGTGGAGGGGGTGGAGATGAGGGGGCGGAGTGGAGTGGAGGGGGTGGAGATGAGAGGTGGAGAGGAGGGAGGGTGGACAGAAAGGCCGGGTGGAGAGGAGTGAGGGGCGGAGAGCAGAGGAAGGATAAAACAACATGTGTAGCAATCAACATGTGTAGCAATCAACATGTGTAGCAATCAACATGTGTAGCAATCAACATGTGTAGCAATCAACATGTGTAGCAAAAGCTCAGTAACAGATCCACACCCCTTCCCCCCTTCCTCTTTCTCCATCACCCTCTCACTAACTTATAGCCCTGTCTCCCTCCCTCCCACTCACTTCCATTCTTTAGGCCCCCCTCCCCTCCCTCCCCTCCCCCCCACGCACTTCTCCACCTGCTCCCTGGGCAGCGATGTGAACAGCAGCCCCCTCACCCTATCCTCTTCCCCCTTCCCCATCCCCCCGTCCCTTCCCCAATCCCTCCCCCCCTTCCCCTTCACCCTTCCCCCTCCATTCCCCCCCCAACGCACTTCTCCACCTGCTCCTTGGGCAGCGATGTGAAGAGCAGCCCTCGGTGACCCTCTATCAGCTGACGTGGCGCACATAAATAGATAAAAGAGAGAGAAATAAAAGGAGAGAAAGACGGAATGAGAAAGAGGGGGGATGTTAAGAGACAGTGGGGGATGAGGGATGGAGGGAGAAAAGGTACGAAAAAAGTGGGTGTAGAAACAGTTGGGAGAAGAGGAGATATGGCAGATGCAGACACTTGAAAGCACACTTGAAGGCATGAACGGGGCTGATTAAAGCTCGCGTCTCATATTTACATGCATTTAACACTTGGTTGGGAATGCACGTCCGTGATTGGTTCCGCCAGAAACGCACCCCAGCTCGTCACATATTTTGTCGTTCGTCAACCAGTCACGGAACCCAACCAAGTGTTAAACGCAACCAAGTGTAAAACGGAGAAAAATATGAGACGCGAGCTTTAAAGGGGATTTACTGCAAGTTGTCCACACTTAAAATCCCATTCTTAACCTTCGATCCATCTCCATCGCACTGCATCTATTCACAAGTTCCCTCACTCACCACACTTCACCGGTGGTGTCCCCCATCCTCTGCTCCGCCACCCCTTATCACCACTCCTCATAACCGCACAGCACCGTCTTCACCCCTCCTTCCCTCCCCCCTCACCTCGCTGCACCAGTGCAATCCCTCTCTCTGCTCCGCCACCCTCCATCCGCACTTTCCTCCAACCCACCCCTACGTTCCACTCCCCGTCACCGCACAGCACCCCTCACCTCTCCCTTCTCACCTCACTGCACCGGTGCAGCCCCTCCCTCTGCTCCGTGGCCTTGTCCCTCCCCAGCGCCACCTGCAGCACCTTGTTCGCCCCCAGGAAGAACCTGGGGAAGGGGGGTGGTGGGGAGAGGCGGACGAGTTGGGGAGGCGGATTGAGGGAGAGAGGGGACGGGGGTGGGGGAAGGGTGGGGGGAACAGCGCCACCTGCAGCACCTTGTTCGCCCCCAGGAAGAACCTGCGAGGGAAGGAGGGGAGGGGGGGGAAAGGGGGGGGAGAGGGGGGCAAGGAAGCGAAGCACGTTGGGAGGGGGCGGAATGGGGAGTGCAGACGGGTGGGGAAAAAGCGCCACCTGCAGCACCTTGCTGGCGCCCAGGAAGAACCTGGGGGCGGAGGGGGAGGGGGGGAGGGAGGGGGATGACGGGGGAAAGGGGGGAGAAGACGGAGGGAGAGGGAGGAGAGGGGGAGCGGAAAAAAGGGAAGCAGGAGAGGCCGACACAGCGCCACCTGCAGCACCTTGTTGGCTCCCAGGAAGAACCTGGGGAGGGAGGCGGAGAGGAATGGGGGAAGAAGTCGGGCCGTGGAGGAGCAGGCAGGGGGAGAGGGGATGGAAAAAAGGCAGCAAGAGGGGAGGGAGGAGCGGAAATGACTGAAGTAGCGCCAGCTGCAGCACCTTATTGGCTCGCAGGAAGAACCTGCACGCAAGGAGGGGAGAGAGAGGCGGGAAAGAGGGGGAGGCGGGGGGGAGTGGGAGAACGGGGGAAACAGCGCCAGCTGCAGCACCTTGTCGGCTCCCAGGAAGAACCTGACGGCAAGGCGGGAGGAGGAGGGTGGGGAGGGGAAGGAAAACAAGAACCAGGCGGACGAAAAAAAATAGGCACCGTCAGGTTCGTCCATGCGCTCCTTGAGTTGGGTGTTGCAGCCAAACTCGAACACATACACGTCCGAATACCCCTCCACCGCCGCACAGCCACTGCCCGGTCAGGGTTTAACGATTCAGGGTTTAGGAACTACGGGCTCTATGGTGCTGTTGGCTTACCTGCAGACGCCTTTGAGCTCATCCCTGAGCTCCTTGAGTTTGGTGTTGCGCATGTTGTCGAACTCGAACACATGCACGTCCGAATACTCCACCGCCGCCGCACAGCCTCTGCTCGAACCAGGGTTAACGATTCAGGGTTCAAGAACTTCCGGGTTTAGGGTGCTCGTGCCTTACCTACAGACTCCTTTCAGTTCGTCTCGCAGCTCCTTGAGTTTGGTGTTGCGCATGTTGTCGAACTCGAACACATACACGTCCGAACACCCCTCCACCGCCGCTCATCCACTGCCCTCTCAAGGTTTAACGATGCAGGGTTCAAGAACTCCTGGGTTTAGGGTGCTCGTGGCTTACCTACAGACACCCTTAAGCTCATCCCTGAGCTCCTTGAGCTTGGTGTAGACTTTGGAGTTTGGCGCTAGTGGCTTACCGGCATGAGCCTTTGAGCTCGTCTCGCAATTCCTTGAGCTTCGTGTTGCGCATGTTGTCGAACTCGAACACGTACACGTCCGAATATTCCTCTACTGCCGCCCGCACCGCCTCCACTAGCGACTCCTTCTGCTCGCGCCCCTTCTTTGTCACGCGCGATAGAGTCACTGCGAGCGGCGGAGGGGAACGGGAAAGGCGGACGGGGTGAGGGAGGGGCGATAGAGTCAAGGTAACGCGCGCGGACGGGGGAATGGAGTGGGAGAGGGGGAGAGAGAAGGAACTCGGCGCGCAGTGATGAGGAGCGCACGTGGAGCTTTTGAGAATCTTCAAACGCCAACTTGTATCGAAACCCTGTAAGTCGAGGACGCTTACACGGGCATTCCGAGTACAGCGATGGCGTAGCGTAACCTAACACGACGCATTGGCAGGGTGGGCAAAGCGGGTGCGCAGAAGAACGACGCATCTAAAGGAAATGCGGCGACCTATCTTGCGTACCCAATCGATTGCGTTTCGATTTCGGCATGCTGGCGCAGCTTGTTCTGCTCTCCCCTGTGCGTCACTGCCGGATCTTGCGCCTTGACTCCCCCGCGCGTATCTCCTCCCCTTCGGCTACCGTTCGCGCTCGCTCGGGCGTTGACTGCCCTGCTCGCTCAATCTACCAGCTGCTACCCAGAGACCCAACGCCGCCTGTAAACCACGTGTTTTCCGGTCAATAAGATACGATGGCTCGACGGTTAGGAGCAGCAATCCTTGTTATAACGCGGATTGGTACTACCGATAAGGTGTTCGAGTATCGATGGGCCAGTCAGAGGGACGGACACAAACAGACTGTCGAGCAGTGTGAAGCTAAGTGAAGTTGGGATGGAAGGATAAGGGAAGAGGAGTGTGGGCGCTGGGGAGAGGGCTTAGCTAACTGTAGCGAAGCCGAGCGAGAACCAGTGGGAATGTCTTCATGTAACAGTCGATTTTTTGCATGACACATTTGCTTTAACAACTACGCCAGTTATAAATTTGCTTTAACAAGTACAAGGTGATGCATTTCAAACCCAGACACGCACACCCCATCAAGACAAAAAAAATATTGCAAATAAATTAGCCGTATTCTGAAATGAGCACGAGGCTGTCCTCCGGGCCGAACTCAAGCGGCACGTCCTTGGGGCACGGGTTGATGACTGTGGTGTCGCTGAGCCGATACCCGATCGCCACCTCCCCCCGCTGCACTGCCCTCTCTGCCAGCTCGTTGAAGGTTGGGGTCTCCCCGGGACTCACATACAGGGACGCATCCTGGTGGTTTGGGGTGGGGATGGGGGAGTTGGGGTTGAATGCGTGGATTTTTTTACTCGATAAAGAGGGGTACTGAAGCGGAACGTCCTTGGGGCATGGGTTGATAACTGTGGTGTCGCCACCCCGATACCCTATTGCCACCTCCCCCCGCTGCACCGCCCTCTCCGCCAGCTCGTTGAATGTAGGGCTCTCTTCCCCACTCACATACAGGGACGCATCCTGGTGGGGGGGAGTGGGGGTGAGTAAATAAGGTATTTAAATGCAGCGAATAAAGAGGGATACCTAGTCGGTCACACAACACGCATGGAACGGCTAGTGCATGATATGTGTTAGAAGCGAAGACATGCTTCCCATGCCGCACAGCCCGAACAAATATACGATGTTATACCATCCACCAAAAGCGTGCATAAACTTTCTTGCACATGGTCAAGCACATTTCAGCCCCCACACACGTTGACGTAAACATATCGCATTTGTACCCACCTTGACGTAGATCTCGTCCCCCCATGAGTTGAGCAGCTCTGTCCAGATGGCATTCAGCTCCGCATGCTCCGTGACTGCAGGGAGGTGAGGTGGGGGGGTGGGGGGATGGGTGGGGGGGGACGGGAGAGAGATGGGAAGACGGACTGAGCACCTCACACCTTGACATAAACCTCGTCCCCCCATGAGTTGAGAAGCTGCGTCCAGATGGCGTTCAGCTCTGCATGCTCCGTCACTGCGGGAAGGGGGGCGGAAAGGTGGTGGAATTGGGGGGAGAGAGGGAGAGACAGATAGAGCACCTCACACCTTGACACCGGTCTCTGTCAGCGCAGCTGTTGAGCAGCTCTGTCCAGATGACGTTCAGCTCTGCGTGCTCCGTCACTGCAGGAAGTTATGGTGGGTGGGGCCGGAAAAGGGGAGGATGGATGAGAGCCACACCTTGGCAAATCCCGCTTCCCCTGACACCTTGACACAGATCTCGTCCCCCCAGCTGTTGAGCAGCTCCGTCCAGATGGCGTTCAGCTCCGCATGCTCCGTCACTGGGAGGAAGGGGGTGGGTGTGAGGATGGGGGAGAGGGAGGGAGAAAGAGATAGAACACCTCACACCTTTGACACAGGTCTCTGTGAGCCCAGCTCTTGAGCAGCTCTGGACGCATGGCATTGAGCCCCACATTCACATTCTACGTCACTGTGGGGAGGGGGAGAGTGTGAGAATGGGGGAAACAGAGGGAGAGAGAGATAGAACACCTCACACCTTGACAAAGGTCTCTGTGAGCCCAGCTGTTGCGCAGCTCTGGGCTAAAGGCATTGAGCCCACATTCACATTCTCCGTCACTGTGGGGAGGGGAAGAGGTGAGGTGGGTGGGGGGATTGGGAGGAGAAAGGGAGCGATGGGATTAGAGGAGAGAGGTAGAGGGGACGAGAGAGGTGCAGGGTGAGGCAATGGCATGGAAGGGAGGAGAAGAGTGGGCACAACATGCACACATCGTGAGGTGACTAGCCCTTTAAGTGCACACCTTGTGAGGTGACTAGCCCTTTAAGTGCACACCTTGTGAGGTGACACACTGCACAGCACGCTCATACGCTGCACCGCACGCTCATACGCTGCACCACACGCTCATACGCTGCACCGCACGCTCATACGCTGCACCGCCCGCTCATACGCTGCACCGCCCGCTCATACGCTGCACCGCCCGCTCATACGCTGCACCGCCCGCTCATACGCTGCACCGCCCGCTCATACGCTGCACCGCCCGCTCATATGCTGCACCGCCCGCTCATACGCTGCACCGCCCGCTCATACGCTGCACCGCCCACTCATACGCTGCACCGCCCGCTCATACGCTGCACCGCACGCTCATACGCTGCACCGCACGTTCATACGCTGCACCGCACGCTCATACGCTGCACCGCACGCTCATACGCTGCACCGCACGCTCAGACGCTGCACCGCACGCTCATACGCTGCACCGCACGCTCATACGCTGAACGTACGCTCATACGCTGCACCGCCCGCTCACACGCTGAACGTACGCTCATACGCTGCACCGCCCGCTCACACCCTGCACTGCCCGCTCATACGCTGCACTGCCCGCTCATACGCTGCACCGCACGCTCATACGCTGCACCGCACGCTCATGCGCCGCACCGCACGCTAATAAGCTGCACCGCACGCTCATACGCTGCACCGCACGCTCATACGCTGCACCGCCCGCTCATACGCTGCACCGCACGCTCATACGCTGCACCGCACGCTCATACGCTGCACCGCACGCTCATACGCTGCACCGCACGCTCATACGCTGCACCGCCCGTTCATACGCTGCACCGCCCGCTCATACGCTGCACCGCCCGCTCATACGCTGCACCGCCCGCTCATACGCTGCACCGCACGCTCATACGCTGAACGTACGCTCATACGCTGCACCGCCCGCTCACACGCTGAACGTACGCTCATACGCTGCACCGCCCGCTCACACCCTGCACTGCCCGCTCATACGCTGCACTGCCCGCTCATACGCTGCACCGCACGCTCATACGCTGCACCGCACGCTCATGCGCCGCACCGCACGCTAATAAGCTGCACCGCACGCTCATACGCTGCACCGCACGCTCATACGCTGCACCGCCCGCTCATACGCTGCACCGCCCGCTCATACGCTGCACCACCAGCTCATACTCTGCACCGCACGCTCATGCGCCGCACCGCACGCTCATACGCTGCACCGCACGCTCATAAGCTGCACCGCACGCTCATACGCTGCACCGCCCGCTCATACGCTGCACCGCTCGCTCATACGCTGCACCGCCCGCTCATACGCTGCACCGCCAGCTCATACGCGGCACCGCCCGCTCATACGCTGCACCGCACGCTCATACGCTGCACCGCTCGCTCATACGCAGCACCGCACGCTCATGCGCCGCACCGCACGCTCATACGCCGCACCGCACGCTCATAAGCTGCATCGCACGCTCATACGCTGCACCGCCCGCTCATACGCTGCACCGCTCGCTCATACGCTGCACCGCCCGCTCATACGCTGCACCGCCCGCTCATACGCTGCACCGCCCGCTCATACGCTGCACCGCCAGCTCATACGCTGCACCGCCCGCTTATACGCTGCACCGCCCGCTCATACGCTGCACCGCACGCTCATATGCTGCACCGCCCGCTCATACGCTGCACCGCCCGCTCATACGCTGCACCGCCCACTCATACGCTGCACCGCCCGCTCATACGCTGCACCGCACGCTCATACGCTGCACCGCACGTTCATACGCTGCACCGCACGCTCATACGCTGTACCGCACGCTCATACGCTGCACCGCACGCTCAGACGCTGCACCGCACGCTCATACGCTGCACCGCACGCCGCTCATAAGCTGCACCGCACGCCGCCCATACGCTGCACCGCACGCTCATGCGCTGCACCGCACGCTCATACGCTGCACCACACGCTCATACGCTGCATTGCTTGCTCTTACGCTGCACCGCCTGCTCTTACGCTGCACCGCCCGCTCATACGCTGCACCGCACGCTTATACGCTGCACCGCACGCTCATATGCTGCACCGCACGCTCATACGCTGCACCGCCCGCTCATACGCTGCACCGCCCACTCATACGCTGCACCGCACGCTCATACGCTGCACCGCTCGCTCATACGCTGCACCGCCCGCTCACACGCTGCACTGCACGCTCATTCACTGCACCGCCCGCTCATACGATGCACCACACGCAACCTTGTAAGTGCACACCTTGTGAGGTCACTAGCCCTGTAAATCCACACCTTGTGAGGTGACTAGCCCTGTACAGACGCAAGAGAATCTGCAGCTCCAGGCGCAGGTGAATCTGCAGCTCCAGACGCAGGAGAATCTGCAGCTCCAGCAGTAGGAGAATCTGCAGCTCCAGGCGCAGGAGAATCTGCAGCTCCAAACGCAGGAGAATCTGCAGCTCCAGGAGCAGGAGAATCTGCAGCTCCAGGCGCAGGAGAATCTGCAGCTCCCGCCGCAGGAGAATCTGCAGCTCCAGGCGCAGGAGAATTTGCAGCTCCAGGGGCAGGAGAATCTGCAGCTCCAGACGCAGGAGAATCTGCAGCTCCAGGCGCAGGAGAATCTGCAGCTCCAGGCGCAGGAGAATCTGCAGCTCCAGGCGCAGGAGAATCTGCAGCTCCAGGCGCAGGAGAATCTGCAGCTCCAGGAGCAGGAGAATCTGCAGCTCCAGGCGCAGGAGAATCTGCAGCTCCAGACGCAGGAGAATCTGCAGCTCCAGGCGCAGGAGAATCTGCAGCTCCAGGCGCAGGAGAATCTGCAGCTCCAGGCGCAGGAGAATCTGAAGCTCCAGGCGCAGGAGAATCTGCAGCTCCAGGCGCAGGAGAATCTGCAGGCGCAGGAGAATCTGCAGCTCCAGGCGCAGGAGAATCTGCAGCTCCAGGCGCAGGAGAATCTGCAGCTCCAGGCGCAGGAGAATCTGCAGCTCCAGGCGCAGGAGAATCTGCAGCTCCAGGCGCACGAGAATCTGCAGCTCCAGGCGCAGGAGAATCTGCAGCTCCAGACGCAGGAGAATCTGCAGCAGCTCCAGGCGCAGGAGAATCTGCAGCTCCAGGCGCAGGAGAATCTGCAGCTCCAGACGCAGGAGAATCTGCAGCTCCAGACGCAGGAGAATCTGCAGCTCCAGGCGCAGGAGAATCTGCAGCTCCAGGCGCAGGAGAATCTGCAGCTCCAGGCGCAGGAGAATCTGCAGCAGCTCCAGGCGCAGGAGAATCTGCAGCTCCAGGCGCAGGAGAATCTGCAGCTCCAGGCGCAGGAGAATCTGCAGCTCCAGGCGCAGGAGAATCTGCAGCTCCAGGCGCAGGAGAATCTGCAGCTCCAGGCGCATGACAATCTGCAGCTCCAGACGCAGGAGAATCTGCAGCTCCAGGCGCAGGAGAATCTGCAGCTCCAGACGTAGGAGAATCTGCAGCTCCAGGCGCAGGAGAATCTGCAGCTCCAGGCGCAGGAGAATCTGCAGCTCCAGACGCAGGAGAATCTGCAGCTCCAGGCGCAGGAGAATCTGCAGCTCCAAGCGCAGGAGAATCTGCAGCTCCAGACGCAGGAGAATCTGCAGCTCCAGGCGCAGGAGAATCTGCAGCTCCAGGCGCAGGAGAATCTGCAGCTCCAGACGCAGGAGAATCTGCAGCTCCAGGCGCAGGAGAATCTGCAGCTCCAGGAGCAGGAGAATCTGCAGCTCCAGACGCAGGAGAATCTGCAGATCCAGGCGCAGGAGAATCTGCAGCTCCAGGCGCAGGAGAATCTGCAGCTCCAGGCGCAGGAGAATCTGCAGCTCCAGGCGCAGGAGAATCTGCAGCTCCAGACGCAGGAGAATCTGCAGCTCCAGACGCAGGAGAATCTGCAGCTCCAGGCGCAGGAAAATCTGCAACTCCAGGCGCAGGAGAATCTGCAGCTCCAGGCGCAGGAGAATCTGCAGCTCCAGGCGCAGGAGAATCTGCAGCTCCAGGCGCAGGAGAATCTGCAGCTCCAGACGCAGGAGAATCTGCAGCTCCAGGCGCAGGAGAATCTGCAGCTCCAGGCGCAGGAGA